TGCGTCTCAGCAGCCGGCAATGTGCCGCGCCCAACCTCCGCCGCCGCCTTCGGATTCGAAAGATCGATGCCCGCAGTTCCAGAAGACAACTCTGCACGCTGTGGCTCAAGTGCCGGAACCTCTTCCTCCGCCTCCTCCTCGTCATTCTTTTCCTCCTGTCCCGCTGCGTCTTCCTCCGGATTCCCCTTAGCGTCTCCCTTCGCCTCCTCCTCCTCAACGCGCGGAGTGACGAGGCTGCTGCCGTTGGCGGCGATGGTGCACACCTCCTCGTACTTCGGGCACTTTAGCTTCCCGCCCTGCAGATGATCATTTGCCACCACCGTGACTTCCTTCCCCTCGGGGCACTCCACATACTCAGCGGCGCCGAGGTACTTCACCTTCACTGCGCCTCCCTCGCACAGCACCTGCGCGCACACACCCTCTATTTTCTTGCCACCGGCGTTAGCCTTCACCCGCAGTTCTTCCGCGTCCAGGCACCACGAGCCACTGCCAGTCAGCGACCCAGGGAGAGTCGCCGCAACTGCGTCCGCGCACGCGTTGGACCTTCTCTCAGAAGTTGAATCATGAAGATACGTCGAAACAACAGGGCACACGTCCTTAAGGTACAAGCTCCCGCTCTGATCAACGATGCCTGTTGTGCACGTCCCGAGGTGGCGGCGGTCAGAGGAGCAGCGAAGCGTCGCCTTGTCGGTGTCATCACAGAACATGTGAGGGTACGTGGTGGAGAGGTCATCGGTGTCGTTGCACTTCGTCTGCAGGAAGCCGCAGCCGGAGTTGTTGCCCCACCCCATCGGCTCCGCCATGCCCCAATTCACGCGGTAGTAGCCGAGGTCCTCAAACACCGCCAGCGTCAGTGCCGTGTAGTAGCCGGCGCCAACCGTGGGGGCCATCAGCTCGTCCCGGGCGTTGCGTCCCTCCCAGTGAGGCAACTTCGCTTCCTCGCCCACAGTGTCCTGCTCCAGCTCCACGCCCATGAGCGGCTCGCAGTTGAAGTGCGCTACCGCCTTCGCTTTGACCGTGGCCCCCGTCACTATCTTGCGGTTTTCTCCACGCACACTGGGCTCTGACTCCACCAGGTTCTTGTGCCCCATTGCTTCGTGGCCAAACCCGAGGGCATGCGCCAGCTCGTGCGCGGCGACGCGGACGCTCCACGCCGAGTCGGTCATGTACGCCGGGTTGAAGTTCATGGCGCCAACGGAAGGGCGGAGGTCACCCAACGTGGCACATGTGGCCGCCCACGCCGGAGTGTTATGACCGAGTGGCCCGGCAGCAGCGTAGAGGACCATGTCGGCACCAGCCACACCCCCGCTCCTGTGCTCAGTTGGAATTGTAAAGTGCTGGCAGTGTCCTGTCAAAACTCGCGGCACAACAATTTTCTCAGTCACTGGCCGCACGAGAAGTCGCTCCGCGTGCAGCTTGACGGCCCCGGGAATAATCTTCTTCGTATACAACTCCTTCTTTTTCTCCGTCAGTATGTGTTCGGCTCTGCAATTTATCGGGTTGCCAAAGTAGTTCACGCACTCATCC